GTAATATTTGACTGCTGCTGATGTCTGATGAGCCTCTTCTTCTTCTCTACTCCAGTCATGGTTATATGTATGTATGCCCTCTTTATTACAGGCCACGTCATTGCCTCAGATCATCTGCCGTCAATAATTCACAGAGACTCACTCATTGAAGGCTCTCAGCTGGTTGACCTTGAAATGGAATTTTATAAAAATGTTCCCTCAGAGATTTCTAGTATACCTGCTGCGCTTTGCTGCTCGCCTGGTACTTTTGGGTGTTTTTGGTTAAAATTCGACTTTCAGCGCAACGTGAGTGTCATGGAAATTATGCTCACTGATTTTTGGACTATTTTCTGTATCCTGCGGCAAACAGCTGTTCGCTTGTTTATTGAACGCAAATTAACAAAACATAAACAATGATTCTGCGAAAATGGACGGCCTCCCGAAAGTATGCCACACTTATTAGCGATAAACATTTACAGCCCAAAAGTATGCAATACAAAATTTTTGCACACAAAAATATTTCTTCAGCAACTTTCTGCGAACTTCTGTTTGCCTGGTATTTGACTGACAATTACGTACAAACTCAATGCAGAGCGAAATCTGCTGCGCTCGCAAGTAAGCAATACGATATTTCTACTAATTTTTTGGTCTGCCTTCTGCGACCTTCTGCTCGCCTGGTGTTCGAGCCGAAATTAGCTAATCGCAGTGCACTGCTGTGCACAGCTAAGTTAGCCAGCGCGCCCAAACGGGCAGAATAAATACCTAAGAAGCACACAAAGGGGTTGCCAGACTAAATAAAAAAATAAAAAAATGGTCTGCGAAACCAACTGCCCTCGTCGGTATGCAACAGTTCTTGTTTTTTACACATGAAATGTTATGCCCAAAAGTATGCAACACCAAATTGTAAATAAAAACGCAATGATTTATTTTATAATTTGATCTGTTTATTTAAAATATTTCGCTTACAAATTAAGAACATTTTATGTTTAAAATCTGTTTATTCCTATATTAAGTCGAGTGTCCTTAAAAGCAAAGCCAAGATTATAGGTTTATATCATACAGGTAGAGGCATATACAGTTAATATAAATCTATCTAGAGTTAGAGAAATTAATTCTTTCAAGTATTCCAATTTCATTCGCTGTGTGCGGGCAACATCTCAGAATTAATAGCAGAATTAATAGCTAATAAGCACACAAAAGAGTTGCCAGACTAAATAAAAAAATAAAAAAATGGTCTGCGAAACCAACTGCCCTCGTCGGTATGCAACAGTTCTTGTTTTTTACACATGAAATGTTATGCCCAAAAGTATGCAACACCAAATTGTAAATAAAAACGCAATGATTTATTTTATAACTTGATCTGTTTATTTAAAATATTTTGCTTACAATTTAAGAACATTATATGTTTAAAATCTGTTTATTCCTATATATTTGACTTACAAAAGAATTTCCAGCTTAAAAATAGATTGAAATTCAACTTAGATTGATTATTTACAGTTATTGTAGCTTAACAATAAAATTCATTAAACATGAGGATCTCTATATTAAGTCGAGTGTCGTTAAAAGCTAAGCCAAAATTATAGGTTTATATCTATACAGGTAGAGGTATATACAGTTAATATAAATCTATCTAAAGTTAGGTAAATTAATCCTTTCAAGTACTTCAATTCCATTCGCTGTGTGGGGGCGACATCTCATCATTGGCCAGAGCTGAGGGAGTGTAAGAGATGTATGAAAATTTAGTAATGTATGATAGGAGTATATTTTCTTTGGCTTACCTTCACATACATACGAAGACAAGACTTCGTGCTGCCGCTGTCCACAATTTTGACTATTTTCACTATTGCTGCCTTTGCTCGTCACTTCATGCACCGTCAGACAGAGTCCTAAATGCAAATAGAATTTAATATATGATATATATATATACAATATTAAAAATACTTACATCACTTGGAATTTATCGCCACATAGCATAGAGTTCTTCGACTCCATCTCCTTTTCATTCAGCATCAGGTAGGGCAGCAGAGCTGCAGTAAGGCTTCCGGTGGTATTTCTGAAAGTATTTGAAATATATAGATAAAATACATTAGTTTCAGTCACGGCCAATTGATAAACGAGTCATTAAATATGGGCATTCATTGGTCATGGCCAAAATGTTCGAAAGGCTCTGAGCTGCTTTGCATGACCTTGACTCGGGTGCCTCATGCTCAATTGATGAGCATGATTAACTCTTTCGACTTGTTTGGCCTTCGAAATTCTGTTTACTGAAAATCTGCTTTTATAAATTTACAAAAAATTTGCTTAAGCCTGAATTCAGCAAATATCCGAACTTTGATAGGCTACAGCTCAATTGAATTTCATTAAGAGAGAGAGAGAGAGAGAGAAAACATTTGGAAGAGCCAACATTTGCTGCAAGCATACATACATATGTATGTATATTAGGTATACGCCCAGTGGGCTACAATATGATTCAATGTATAGGCTGCTGCATGCGGTTGATTCTCGTTTCGAGCGAAACCTATGCACAAGTGCTAAAAGTTCGTCTAAATAGTAATATACTAATTATGCACACACATATTTGGGTACTCAAAAGTTGTTTATACGCAAAATTGGTTTCTGGTTTGATGTTTGATGCACACTCTAATCTTTTTCAATCAAGTTAGATGCTAAGCAATTTGAGTCAACTAATTAAATCATCCGACGCATATTTGAGCGAGAGAGAATGCGCAGAATTTTCATAACAAAATTTTCTAGCGAAAAAGTGGAAAACCAAAACAAACTAAAATAAATTAGCATGAATGTGCTTGACTCGTGTGGGGTCTGCCAGCCAGATATTTGCAAAGTTTCGACGAGAGATGAGCTGTGTTGCTGGTGCAACTGTAACTGTTACTGTTAACAGTGACTGCTAAACTGTGACTGGTATTTCCTGCGAGTTTGTTTCATGAGCTAATCTGTCACAGAGCCGAGCTGAGCTCTCTATGATTAGACGATTACAATCATATATATAGATGCTAGTTACAGTTACTACTACTGTAATATGCAATATCAACTGTGACTGCTGCCACATCACAGTTAGTGCAGCTTAAGCTTAATTTCGAATACCACATACGTATTGTACATCCCTCTCATACTTAATTAAATGCACACACACTCCCCACTCCCGCTCTGTCCGTCTCGCTCGCTCTGTGTTATGTTTGCTCTATCATAAATGCCATGCGATGCGAGCATCCAATTTGCATCTGCGCATTGTGCAACTCATGTAATTTGCCAGGTAACTGGTGCTCAATTGCCTTCCGAGGACAACTTCAACAAATTGCCAGGCAAGGAGACAAAGCCAAAGCACATACGAGGCCAGCTGAAGACACAGATACGTGTGTACGTATGTGTGCATGCATATGCTATTCCAGTTCCAGTTAAAGTTGCAGCTGCACAGTTGCAGTTGCAGCTGCAGCTGCTGCAGTTGTTAAACTATTTTCAAATTTATCCAATTGCTCGCTCTTCGGCCCTGAGCGCCGCTTGACAACTTGTTTCGGTGTTAGCCAAGTGGCAATTGAGTCTTTTATGTGCTCGTCCAACAAGTGCAAAGGGGGAGTATAGGCGGGGTGAGAGGAAGAGAGAGAGAGCCTTTAATTGACTACTATTCCTCGCTCAGGGAATTATGGTCTTTAATCTATATTCTTAGCTCTTTAAGCTTGTAATTTCTCATTGCGCAGCTGAATATACCCGATCCGATGCTTGCTCTACTTATGACATGCCCATGAAAAATTTGCTTAGCTTTTAGTATGATCTGCATTCAAAAAGCAATTAACACTTCGTCCATATCCTGGGCATAAATAATCGAAAAATTTGTCTGATGCTCTCTGAACACGTTCGATCCGGCTGCTGCTCCTGCTGCTGCTCCTGCTACTGTTCCCGTTCAGCTGATTGCATCAAATTGCATTTGCCGGCTAACGTAATTAGACCACGCTGCAATTGCAATTAGACAGACAGCAGGTGGTGCAGGTGGTGCAGGTGGTGCTGCTCAGCCTTTGACAAGGTAGCTCACGCTTCTGCACTTCTGCAGTCAGGTAAAAAGTGACTTTAAGGCGGTTGCTTTAATGGCAAATTGAATTGGCTGCAGCACTTAGCATGTGCATTGCAATGGAATACAGTTAGTCAGACAAATAAATGTATGGAGTGAGTGCAAAAAGAGAGAGAGAGAGAGAGAGGGCAGAGAGGGCAGAGTTACCGAGGGCTTCTTAGCTGCATTTGCCTTTCGAAAGGTTTATTTGCAATTTTCCTCAACATTTTTGCAACTTTCATTGCTCGCAAATTCGTGCGCTCCAATGGCGCACACACTTATCCGCAGTCGTGTGTGAGCAGCTGTGTGTGTGTGTGCTGGATTATGATACCCTGTGATAGGCTAGCACTCATGCACAGACATGCTTCATTGCTGGCTGAGTAAAAACTTTTACTGATTCACTTTGGCTTTCGCTTTCTGTTCTCTATTCTCTATCTGCTGAACAAGGACTAGTTGATATCCTACACTCACGCAAAGGCACTACACCTACAAGACCTTCTACTCAATTGTGCTTTTTACAGGGTATTTGAAGCGCCGTTAAGCCCAGTTGATCTGCGACTGCAGGTGCATGCCGTGGCCCTCGTTTGTTTGCCAGCATATTCAAGCACAACACGTGCCCAGATTATGATTACAGTGATACACACACACACACGCACACATATTTATTTATGTATATAGAGAGAGAGAGTTATTTTGATTATAGTCTGTTTGTAGGTTAAGGCAATTTGTATGGCAAATATCCATATACACTTACAGCAATACATTTATGCCTTCCTGCTGGAGTTGTTGTTGTTGTTGCTGTTTGATGCAGATTTTCAGACTGTGCAATTATCATAGAATAATAAACAAAGCCCCACAATATCAACACTCGAACATAAACAGAGAAATATCTATAGAGAGCGAGAGCTAAATGAGATTTTTGATTTTAAAGTTTTGCGTCTTTTGTTTGCATGCTCCTCAGGAAGCGGAAGTCGAAAGTTGCTGCAGCCAACTTAAAGCGGAAGTTGGCCGCTCAGCCACGCCACCGCCCACCCACCACAGCGCCAGCACTCAACGCCCATTTAGCGCCGAGAATGCCGAAAATCAAGTTGAAGTACACATAATGCAGTCGCTCGGCTAAGAATCTCAACGGACAAATCCAATTCGAAGGCAAACGCAATTTGAGAATCCTTTTCAGCGGCAATTTGTCTCAGCAGCAAGTGCGTCTAATACCGGCAGCCGGAAGTTGGAAATAGATACAGTAATAGCTACAACAAAATGGCGGATCTGGAGCGCATTAGACTCGTCCTGCTGGGCGGCGCAGGAGTCGGCAAGAGCTCCATTGTCAAGCGCTTCCTATTCAAGAGCTACACGGACAAATATCGCGCCACCGTCGAGGATCTCTACAATCGCGAGTACGACCTCGGCGGCGTCACCCTAAAGGTGAGTGCAACGAGGACACCTTCCCTAAGTGCTGCTCGCGTGATAACAATTGAAGCAGCTTACCTGCTACCCTCCGTTAACAACCTGCCCCCTCTGCACTTGCCATCCCCCCACGGGAGGCAGCAGCACAGTGAGGCCAGCAAGGCGAACGCTTAGCAAGCAGTTACTTTTTATGCCTGGAACCCATTTCGAAAGGATTCGGATAGCATGTGATGCGCACTACCAAAACGAATGTAACAAGCAGAGCAGGCTAAGAATATGAGAAGAAGCTAGAAATGGCAGGAGTAGAAGAGTCGAACAAGAGTAGATGAATAGAAGAAGCGGAGAGAAGAATAGAAGAATAAGAGTCTAAGAGTCTGAGTAGAATATAATAAGAGTAGAAAGGTGGAAAACTAGATGAGTAGAAGAGTAGAGTAGAAGAATCGAAGACTGTAAAAGCATAGAAAAGTACCGGAGGATTAGATTAGGATTAGAGGATGAGAAGAAGAGTAGAACAGAAAAATATAATAATAATAGACTAGATGAGTAGAAGACTAGTGGAGTAAAAGATTATAAGAGTATAAGATCTAATGAACACAAAAGAATATTAATTCCTCTTGGAGCAGCGCAACTTAGCCTTGGCTTCAAGTCAGGGTATCTTCTAGTCGTTCAGTGCCTACGAGAGCACTCTTACATGCACCTCTTTTCATTTGCCTTTATTTGTATTACAATTTTATGGGTGTTTGGCTTAGCTGCCTGCCCGGGCATTTAAACTGCAATTTTGTTGTTCGCTGAGCTCCAATTGTTGCACTCTGAGTGCAGCAGTTGCAACGGCTGCAACAATTTGTGTGGCTGTGCGAGTGTGTAAGTGTGGGTTGTGGCAACGTGCCACTAATTAAATCATAATGGATGCAACTGAGTTTCCACTGGCATATGACTCACAGCAGATGAGCAGATAGTGGGCCGAGTTATTAGTGTGAGAGCTTTGATTCAAATGAATTGCGATGGAGAGTTAAGCAAGAGCTACAAGGATTGTTTGGGTAGTACCAGAAATCGCCATGAATTACTGGCTGAGCCTAGAGAGGCCTCTATGTGAGGTTAGCTTTAATAACTGTCACAAGGATGGTTAAGTAGGCAGATAAGGAGCACTGGAACATCCATCTCTATACGCTCAAATTGTGTAGAAGTGATGGGATATAAGGGAAAATTTATGTTTCCAGTTCTACTAGAGTTAACAATACAGATATAGAGATTAATAGAGATAGTCCTAAGGTAAATTTTTCTTAAATATATATACTAGACCCAAAAATATATGTATAAAAGTTTTGCATTTTAAAAGAGAGTTAATTAATTCCCAATCACTGCGTCGTATGATGTCCCTAATGTCTTTAGTTCTTGAGTTCTCGAGGCTCTGTTGGAAATCGACTGATACAGATACGTTACGCTTTCATCCATGTGTTACATATAATCTATTAAAATCTGATTACCCTTTTAATACACTACCCAGAATTGGAGTTGTGCTTCACTTATGTCAAAGTTATGAGAGCTTGCTTGGCATTAGAGCGCTTGTCTACATCAAATTGAATAACATTTTTATGCAGACAGAAAGAGTGCGAGACGCCGATAGATAGAAAAAACCTACATATACATATGTGCCATATATAGAATCGCTTCTTAAGTAGCATTCAGTAAGCTCCGCATTAAAATTTCAAATTTTATGTTTGATGCTCGCAGGCAAATTGAGTGCGCTTAAAGTGAGTAAATGATGGGCAAATGGGTTAATCTATGAGTTTGTGTATAGTTTGGCCTGTAGCTAAGCACGCACACACACCCACACACACATACACACACTCACATACAGATGTGCATTACATATATCCTTCTGTCAAACATGAGCTCTGCTGCGAGGCTTAGAAAAGCCGACAAGCTGGTGGGAAGCTGCCTCCACTCATTAATCAAATTTACACGCCACGCCATCAAAAACTGCAAAATTTCCGACGCACAACATGTTATGGATATTGTCTGGGTAGAGCACGCCCCCTGCTTGTCTCTCTCTCTCTCTCTCTTGTGCTGGGACATCATTCAGGGCTGATTATTTGCTGCTTGGAAAGTTGGCCTTAGCACACGACCAACAGCTCGCCGCAAAACTTGTAACAAAAAGTTGATTAATAGGTATGCAGCAGTATTCCTACCCTCTTCCTCTCCCCCTCCCTCGCTTCCTCTCCATCTCACTCTCTATCTGTGCTGCCCTCTGGTTGCTATGACTGCGACGGTCGCCAAATTGATGTTGACTAAACTGCGTTGAGGTCGACATTGACACTCCTGGCGGTGGCGTCGCCTCTGCCATCATCCGCAGCATCGACAATGTCATCATCATCATCGGAATTTTGGTTTTAATTAAATTCGTTTTAACGCTTCGTAACTGGACTAAAATGTCAGAGGACTATGTGGACTCTGGGCTCACTATGGGCTGTGGGCCATAAGCTGTGCCGTAATGGCCACTGGGCGTGGCTGTAATTTTTACCGAAAAGGGCAACAAATCATTATTTTTGTTTTTGTTTTCTGTTTTGGCTTGTGGCTTGAAAGTTGAAGTCGACGTGCAGCAATCAGAACAGATTTTAATATACATAAATAATAGCTAGAGCTGATTTGAGTAGGACCTTTTTGCTGAGAGCTTGATTGGTGCAATGAAAATGAGAGTTGAGCATCATTTTAATTGAAGTTGAAGAGGAGAAAGGCAGGCAAAAAGCTGCTTAAGTTACTATTAAGAAATTGTACATAAGTAACGGGAGTGGCTAACTAATCAACCAGGTTGATTACTGATAATATGTCTGTTAATCTTTGGCCAAAAAGCCAAGGAGTATACCTATATATTTATCAATTAATCAGTTAATCATTCCTTAAGTAAATATATATCCTCTACACATTAGAATAACTATACTGCACTCTCACTGAGTCTTCTACTCTCACTTGCCCTCTCTCTCCCTCTCTCTCTCTCTCGTGGACTCCCTCTCAGTGTGTTTCACACTCATTCGAACTGCATTCCATGTTAAATTACGCATACGCCGCGTGTTCTGCGCTTATTTTCAATCTCAATGCAATCAACTTGGATTAGAATTCCCTGTGAAAAGTAGTTTGTGGCTGCTTAACATGCACACACACACACACACACACACACACACACACACACACACACACACACACACACGCACACACACACACACACACAC